TTGAGGGGAGAATATTTCCAATATTTTTGCTGCTTTGTGGAGTAACTACTCTCTGGAGAGTGTGCCTGAACTGCTGGACTGAGCAAGAAAGCATCATAACAGTAAGATGTAAGGAGAGCTCGCCATTCCCATTTTCTAGTAGTTTGGGGAGTTGTATATCCATGCCCTTCTTTGCTTCTTTTCTTATTTTTTGGGAAAGAGTAATAGGTGTGTGTTTTATTGTGATTCCCCCTGCCCTGTGTGTGGAGGGTGTATTACTTTTTTACCTTGCTGTTTTATTAATTTCAAAAGGGACGTGGTGGCGCTGCGGGTTAAACCGCAGAAGCCTCTGTGCTGTAAGGTCTGTAGATCTTCAGCTGCAAGATTGAATCCACGTGACGGAGTGAGCTTCCGTCGCTTGTCCCAGCTCCCGCCAACCTAGTGGTTCGAAAGCATGCAAATGCAAGTAGATAAATAGGGACCACCTCGGTGGGAAGGTAACAGCATTCCGTGTCTAAGTCGCACTGGCCATGTGACCACGGAAGATTGTCTTCGGACAAATGCTGGCTCTATGGCTTGGAAATGGGGATGAGCCTTTGTGACCCCATGGACCTCCAATGGGGAACCTTTACCTTTATTAGTTTACTGTGTGTGCTATTTATTCAGTTTAAATTTCAATATTTGGGTGGTGGGCTTTGTAGTGTTCTGTTTGCTAAATTCTTTTCTTAATACAATGTTTTTTCCTGTTGAACATTATATTTGGTTTATTTTACTATATGCTTTAATTTTTGTTCCTTTTAAAGCTGAATGTTGAGGACTGTTGTTCTGTTTGCTAAGTTGATTCTGGGAGGGGATTCTTCTTTCTAGATTTTTTTCTAGGCAGTTTGGCTGGAATTTCCAGTGTATTTAACTTATTCTGTTAAAGGTGCACACATAATATATTTTAGTGGGTTTGGGAGCAACCGCTTGTTTGCTTCTTTGTGGGTATGTCAGCCAGGAGAGTGTGAACTGCATCTACTGCATTCTTCTTTGTTTTCCTACTATGATGCTCAGGCCTAAAGAAGGTTTCTCTGTTGTGATGGGGTAGGGATAAAACTGAAGTTTCACTGTGAAATGGAGCTGAAGTTGCATGACTTTTCTTTTTCTTTTTTTCCCAAATTGCTAGGTGCTTTTGGTTGCTTCTTTTTGAATTGGTTGTTCGGTGAATGGGAAAGGTGTTTTTTTCTCTGTGTGTGTGTGTATAGGAGTGACAGTAGTGATGGTGGTGAGTATCTTTTTGGCTAGAGAAACACCTTTGTCTGTCTTCTGTGCACAGAGGGTTGTGCAGAGGCTTTCCCTGCTTTTGTGTCATGGAAATTTTACTTTATTTGACCTACAGAAATCTAGCTACATAGGAGTTAGGCTGTCATCATAAAATCATAGAATAATGGATTTGGAAGGGGCCTAGGAGACCATTGAGTTCAGCCCCTCCTCAATGCAGGAATCCAAATCAAAGTAAATTTGACAGATGGTTTTCCAGCTTCCTATTGATTGCCTCTAACACTGGAGCACTCACTACCTCACGAAATAATTGGTTCAATTGTTGTATTGCTCTAACAGTTAAGACATTTTTTTCTTGATATTCAGCCTAAATCTGGCTTCCTGTAACTTGAGTCCATTATTATGTGACCTGCACATTGGAAAGAAAGAAAGAACTGGATATGGAACAACTGATTGGTTCAAAATTGGTAAAGGAGTACCAATAAGGAGTCTCCCTCCTTATTTAACCATCATGCGAAAGGCTGGACTGTCAATCCCAAACTGTCATTAAGATTGCTGGAAGATGTATGGAAGTGAGATCTGGGCCATAAAGAAGGCTGATCACCGAAGAACTGATGCTTTTGAATTGTGGTGCTGGAGGAGACTCTTGAGAGTCCCCTGGACTGCAAGGAGAACAAAACTATCAATTCTGAAGGAAACCAACCCTGAGTGCTCACTGGAAGGACAGATCCTGAAGCCGAGGCTCCAATACTTTGGCCATCTCATGAGGAAAGAAGACTCCTTGGAAAAGACCCTGGTGCTGGGAAAGTGTGAAGGCAAGAGGAGAAGGGGATGACAGAGGACAAGATGGTTGGACAGGGTCATCAAAGCTATCAACCTGAATTTGACCCAACGCCGGGAGGCAGTGGAAGACAGGAGGGCTTGGCATGCTCTGGTCCATGGGGTCACAAAGAGCCGGACACGACTTAATGACTAAACAGCAAGCATGCTGGAATGCTCAAGAAAAGATCCTGCCACTTCTGTATATGACTACCTATCAAGAATTTGAAAAGTGCTATCATGTCTCCCCCTCAGTCTTCTTTTCTCAAGGCTAAACATTTCCAGTTCTTTCAATCTTTCCTCACAGGTTTGGTTTCCAGTCCCCTGATCATCCTTGTTACCCTCTTCTGCACCTCTTCCAGTTTGTCTGTATCCGTCTCCAAGTGTGGTGTCCAAAACTGGGCACAATACTTAAGATAAGGCCTAACCAATACTGAATAGATTGGAAACTCATACTTTATAGGATTTGGAGACTATTTCTGTTAATGCAGCCTAAAATAGCTTTTTCCTTTTTTGCAGTCTCATCAAACTGGATATTAGTGTCTGCATAGGTCAGACGATAATTGATTTTACTTTCTCAGATACTGTGGCATGCTTTTGGAGGGAGTAGGTGGATAGCTTTGCCCCCATTTTTTTGGAGTAGC